GTATGGGACTAGAGCATTGACGAACCCAATTAAATTCTTAATTAACTATTAATCTATCTATCAACTCTTTTATTGTTCTAATCGCGAAGGATCTAACATCGTCTCGAGCGATTAGGACTGGTGGCAGCGCTAATACCGTTCTCAACCGCGTATCAGCCAACATAATAAAACGTAGTAAAACCCTCGTTTTCCATATTTCGTTTTTTTTTTTATTTTGTACGTCGCGCGCCGTCTCTCTCTCTCGCTCGCGACGTAACATAATTATATTTTACACAATTTTATAATAGTCAATTTTATAATACACAATTTATTATAATTTTAACACAAATCTCTTTTCCTTTAGACTCTATGCTAATTATTTTCTATTAAACACTACCATACCGTAATAAATAATAGATGTACACGGGTAGCAATTTACATAGAATTTCCGTAAAACAGATTTGAGGTTAGGAATCGGAGAATTCCCAATAAAATTTCCGGGAATCACCATTTCAAGTAGCTACATGCAGATTTTTTCTGGTGAACTTTTAGGGATATTTTTGTTTTATTTTGTTTATTTAAGGTATGGTTAATATTTATTTGTTAATTCAGCATTTCTAGAATCATAAATAAATTTTGAACAAAATATAAGAATATCTTTATATTTTAATTAAAAAAATATTTCACATATCTGAGACTTTTCTACTTGCTGTAGCTGTTAAATACTGCATTGAATTAGCGAGTCAGCGCATTCCAGCAGACGTGAAGACAAGCAAGTCAGCAAACCTCTACGCCCAGACTTTGCCCAGTCCTTGTATAAGAAAAGATCGCGTCAGATATATTCTAACCACCGTGCGAGTCAGTCGGAATTCATTCATTCTGGTATTGTACTTAGTTAGTACGTGATTTCGTGTTTCTGGAAATAAACTACTTCCACATTTAAAAGTGAGCTTGTGAATTCATTCCATTTTTCGGTTGTTGCTAAAACTCCAATGGGAATAAGACTTCGAAGAACGACTCGATAATAAATGCACTTCTGATCCGAAATAAATAAAATGAACATAAACTATTGGCGAAACTTGAAATTATGTTTTGTCATCGGGCAAGCAAAATTATTGTATGCAGACAATTTCAGGGTTGTGTGTGGAAAAGGGGTGAACTGATTCAGGATAATAACTAGTTTGCTGATCATCTTATTGAAGGTATACTTAAATATTGTAAAATCGAACAAAAATATATTGTTTTTATACTCCTGAGTCATTGTTTTAGGTACTTGAAAGACTCGCATTTTCATCGATAAGTCATGGAGAAGATGCATTGGAAAAAAAAGCAAGTACATACAGTCGAAGACAACAGTATTAACAGCAAACCAAAGAAAGAAACATCTTTCTACATTTGGTGATACAGTGTCCCACGAAGAATGCATATGTAAAAAGGTAAGATTGAATAATGTTGGTATAATCATTAGCACTTGTTAATACGGGCAGTGTTTTGACGTTTATGAAAAATAAGTGTTATATTAAGTTTTAGAGAATCGGCACAGCCCTTTTTGAGACTTTGTACAGGGTGTAAAAAAATTAATGGTCATGGGTTCAGGGGGTGAATGCACACCCTAGGATCGGTGGACATTTATTAAAAAAATTTGTGGCAAAATTGTTTATAACATTGAAAATTAATGTTAAATTTTTTTTTACATCAACGTATTCTGTGCATTGAGAAGAAAAATAATCTGAGAAGAACCATATGTCGCAAACAAACCGTTTGGTCAGGAAAAATGATTGAAAAATTCACAGCGATTTGGTTGTGTAGTGTAATACGTAGAGAGGACATGGGTCTATCACCACTCTGCCACTTGGACGTATCTTGAGTCCTGGCACAGCGGTGTGGGTATCCCTACCGGAAAAGGTCAATGCACCTTACTAGGTCTACTGTCCTTTTAAACGTTATATTGTGTCAGTTTAGGGTAGGGATACATACACTCAAGATACGCTTAAGTGGCAGAGTGGTGGTAAACCCATGTCTTCTTTACGTATTACACTATCCAACCAAATCGCTGTGAATTTTTTAATAATTTTTCAATGTTATAAACTATTTTTCCGCAAGTTTTTTTTTAAATGTCCACCGATCCTAGGATGTAGATTCACCCCCTAAAGCCATGACCATTAATTTTTTTACACCCTATACAAGCCCTGAAATTTTGCAAAATATATACGTTGCATATACCGATACATAAATTTTTCAAAAATAAAAACTACTATTTTTATAAAAAGCAAATGTCGATCCTCTAAAGGTTAAATTTGATGTTTCTCGTTCGCAACGAAGTATTGCAAGTATTGCAAAGCATTGTAAAGTGTGACAACTGTGTATTGTTTCCTATTTTAATTCCTTATATTCGTTCTTTAATGTGCTTAAGAACTTAATTCAAAAATTATTTTATTTCATTGTTACTTTATTTAAAAAGTATTATATTTTGATACATGATTATAAAATGACGGAACTCACTTTTTTAGCATTAAACTTTACTTGATGAAAGCATTTTGAATTATCGACGCTATAACATTAAATAATGCAATTTAATTTTTTTTTAATCAAAACAGATAATTTGTTTTTTTTGCATTTGAGAAACAAATGATGTCAATTAAGGGTTAATTTATCTGACTGTATGTTGTCTCATTGTAGACATAACTAACGGGTCTTTTGGGTCTTTTTGACGACATTCTACGTCTTTTGACCCAGTTTATATGTACTTCTATATCTAGAAGTATATCAAAAACATACACGACTACAATATATAGAATGTAAGATAACTATAATAATAAAATACGTTCTGAATTACAGTTCGCTCGCAATTTTTGTCTTACTAATTATTATTGAAGTCAGTAAAGTTCGATTGTAATAGACAGTTTATTAAAACATGATATGCTCATAATAGCGCATTTTTTAAACATGGTCACTGTAACCTTAATCATTCTACTGTATTCGAACCTATGTGACCGAGTCCAATTCTTTGATTTATGTAATTCTTTTGTCCTACAGTTTTTTCGAATTACAATTCTTGATATCGTCTATTTTTATACATGCTTTTGAGTGTTTAAAAGAATTTTTTATTACATTTGTGAAAAATATACACAATCTTAATTATTATACAATTAGTGTTTGTTTTTGTGAACATAATAGAAGGATTACGTTACGTCGTGCGTACGCGTAAGTAATAAAAATATAAGAATCGAATATTTTTACATATGCATCTTTTGATGCTTTGTTGCACGGCAGTCGGTATCGCTGCCACCAGTCCCGATCGCGTATGACATGAACGAGATTCGCAACCCGCCCTCTACGATCGGAACAATTTAAAAAGTATTAATAATAATCCAAGTTTAGACTACTGTCGGTATGTCGGTGCTTTAGGCCCTTTTGAAATCGTATCGGTAATGTGTGAAAAATAATGTAGGAATTCGGTGAGTAACTGTTTGATGTGAAATAATGAAACCGCTTAAGATTAACTGATCATATAATTAGATTCCAACCAAGTACGAAATAATTAACAAAAGAGTAAATAATTAACAAAATATAATATATTACATACAAGAGAATTTGCGGTTCAGTTACCGCGGTAACAATAAGAGTTTGTGACGGTAAGATTCGATCGATGATGAAAGCTATGAACAATTACGTTAACAGGCAATTGCAATAGTGATGATGTATCGTCGAAATCTTTCCAACATGGAGAGATCCCGTGTTTCAAAAAATAGGATATAATATGTGTAAGGAGGAGGGTACTTTAATAAATGAATTTAGACGATTTTAAGCCGAAATATTAATCATCGTTTATTGGTCGACGCTCGACAGCTTACATGATATCAGGTGAGAATGTAGAATTAGAGAGGTACATGCTTGTAACCAACTCTACGGGTCGTCGTCACGACCATAATATGCGGAATTGCTAATAATTTCAAACTCGCACTCGCGGATGAACCGTGTCGTCGATCGCGATTCGAATTGTAACAGGTTTCCTTTTAGACTAAATAATACGCGTCGATCGCCCGAGAACCTCCGCATGAAAGGGGCGGTCAACAAAGAGCTAATTTTCGTTCTCGCTTGCTCTCTGATTTATCGTGAATGGCGATGACAAACCGTTAGATAATTTACGACATGGCCGTGCTTACGTTAAGCCTCGTACTGACTTGGGCATTTTGCTCAAACGAATGCTCTCGGCGAACGAACGTGAAATTTCTCCGACTGTTCATGCAAACCTTTCTACCTGGGGTACCGTAAACCTTTCTATTTCGATTCTTTCTACCGTAAACCAGTCGAAGTCAAAATGTCGACAGCCTATATTGTTATGCATACAATAATTAAAAGAAAAAGAGGAAGAAAAAAGCAAGATAAACGATGGTGGATTAGTGAAATGTATAAAAATAGAGCAACCTCTAGCGGTGAAAATCTAATTAGAGATTTACAGCTGGAACCTAGTGGACATTTTAAAAATTTTGTGAGAATATCGTCGGAAGATTTTGAATTTTTAATAAATGGTATCGGCCCCAAAATTAAAAAAAAAGACACCAGATTTCGAAAAGTTGTGACGGTGAAAGAACGTTTAGCGATAACGCTACGTTTTTTAGCAACGGGAGATTCTTATACAAGTCTTCAGTATTTGTTTAAAGTGTCCAAGCAATTAATTTCAACAATTGTTCCGGAAGTATGCCAAGCGCTTGTTGAAATTTTAAAAGAACATATAAAGGTAAGTATACATATTTAAAAATACTTATTTATTAATTTATTTAATATATTGTCGTAATCTTACGATTGCGCTTAAGGTAAGTAAAAGGAGACTTTTAATTCATTAATCACTTCTATTTATTTTTACAATATTCGCATTCGCACATCATTCAACCAATCACCCATACCTTACACCTGTCGTTCGACTCTCATTTGCTCTCACTCATTCGGCGCACATTACATTCCCATTCAAACATCCTTTCTCTCACTACAATATACATAGACTTACTTACTAAATAACATTAATCTTTTCCGGCATTTAAAATATTTATGATCGCCGCCGGAATAATTGAAGCTGGTTTTCTTTGTGTATGATTTTGTGCATGATTTTGTGCATGATTTTGTGCATGATTTTGTGGACGATAATAAATATCATGCCGAATTGAGGGAGTAGTTGACGGAGCCTGATCAAATACCCCCATGTCCGCCTCGAATAAAATATTGTTAATAGCTCGCTCCACTTGGACACGTGTGCGAGGAGTATATTTTCGTACTTTGTTAGCAATGTACTTGGAATATATGTCATATTCGTCCGGCTGCTCTTTTGCTATTGATTGTTGCATAATTTCATATGCTTTCTCCAATCTCTCCTCATCCCTTCTATCGTGACCTCGCTTGCGCCGTTTCGGAGGCACAGGCACTGGAGTAGCCGTAGCCGTACCCGTTCCCGTATTTTCTTGCGGTATTTGATGGGCTGCACTTTCCTCAGTGCAGTCTTCCTCATTGCAGTTTCCCTACAAATTTAATTTGTTAGATTACTTTTAAACATTTGTGTTTGAAACAAATGTTTATTTTTATTTTTATTTTTTCAGATGCCATCAACGCCAAATGATTGGCTGGCAATTTCACAAAAATTTGAGGAATTATGGAATTTCCCACATTGCGTAGGAGCAATGGATGGAAAACATGTGGTACTGCAAGCACCTGCCCACAGTGGGAGCGATTTTTACAATTATAAATCGCAATTCAGCATTGTTTTATTTGCCTTAGTCGATGCTGACTATAATTTCCTATACGTCGATGTAAGGTGTCAATGTCGAATTTCGGATGGCGGAGTTTTTAAAAATTCCGAATTATCAAAAAAAATTCGTAGAAACTCTTTGGGGTTGCCAGAAAAATCGGTCTTGCCAAATAGGACCAAAGAAATACCCTACGTATTTATTGGCGATGAGGCATTTGCTTTAACTGAAAATTTAATAAAACCTTTCTCTGGCACTTATAATAAAAAATCAGCCGAAAGGATTTTTAACTATCGACTCAGTAGAGCTCGACGAGTGGTAGAAAATGTATTTGGAATTTCTTCGACAGTATTTCGAGTACTGAGAAAACCCATGTTATTGGAGCCGGAAAAGGCGCAATTAATTGTATTGACGGTGGCGTATCTTCACAACTTTTTAAGAAGAAATAATAATTCCCGTTCGTTATACTCCCCTGCAGGCACTTTTGACTCAGATCAAAATGGAGTATTCGTTGAAGGTAATTGGAGACAAGAAAGAAATTCAAATTCACTGATTCCAATAACGAACATTCCTCGGAGATCACCACTAAGTGCTCAAGAAATTCGCGACGAGCTTAAAGAGTATTTTATTACTAATGGACGTTTAGAATGGCAAGACGAATATGTATAAATATTATAAATTGTACTATATTTTACATACCTTCTCTGTGTTTAACGTTTCTCGCGGTTCGTCTTTGTTCAATAAATAGTGCATTCTGTCGAACGCGAACCACTTGGACGTGTAGACGTCCTTACGAGCTGTCAATAAAAAATTACTTTGTACTGATTGTAATTATATACAATATTTATACCTGATTGAATATAGAAATATATAAATACCTTTCCCCGTTCCAATACTCCTGGTACCCTTTGCTTTCTCTCGGCGAAAGGACGACAACAAACTATTCATTTTTTGTTTAATTTCATTGCTTTTTATTTGAAATACTGCAGCAATGGCTTCCCACGCGTCGATTTTTTTATTACGCGAATAATGAAATGGGTGTTTAGCATTCCACAGTAATGGGTATTTTTCATATTCGTCAATCAGACGAAGTACCGTTTCGGTTTGCCACTCCATGACGACCTTCTTCAACTGAACTCGTATCGACAACTGGCTACTCTCGTGTCGCTCGTCCATTTCAATGTTTAATAAAACATCTGATGGACAAATGTCTCCGCTCGCAGGGTGGTGTGCTATGCACATGTCGGATTTCAAAAATCAGTTTATGACGGTTCATCAGGCCATATCATAAACTGAGTTTTTCCGAAGGGTAAGTTCGACAGCGGTCGACTAACGGTACTTGGAAATTTTAACCGGCACAGTAAAATTGTTCGCACGAATATCCTTTGATGGACCGACAGCCGTCGGAAAGCGTTCGTTCGTGCCCAGGGCCCTTGCGAACTCATAACGGATCGTTTTCGGCGCACGAATACTCTAGTGAGTACGAGGCTTCCTTCGTGCTCTGGGCCTTCGCGAACACATTAACGGGCCGTACTCACTTCAGCATTTTTGCCCAAAAGAACGTTTTCGGCGCACAAATGCATAGGTCAGTACGAGGCTTTAGGACCGATCCTAGTGAAAACTAAACAAAGACCCTGCCTCGGCTCGTATTTCGAGGCATAGACTGTTCATGGTGGTCTACGCACCGAGCCACTTGAAGTCATAAAATACCTTCGGTCTTGACAAAAAATAAAACGTCGAGGGCCGAACAGATGGGTTATAACAGTTACAAATATACAGGGTGTTCGACAACAGGTGGGCAATATTTTAAGGGGTGACTCTAGGGATCAAAATATGACGAAAATCAAGAATAACGAAATAGCGTTTACGGTTTCGCTTTCAGTAATTAACGTTTAAAAATTCGAGTAAAAAGCGCCTGAAACCTGCAATCCGCTCAGCACCGACGACTGAACGTCAGGTCAGCAGGGGTCGATACAATCATAAAATCATAACCAAGAATCGTTGAATAGTAGAAACTTACCTCGTGCTATTCTTCTATTTTTTTAAATTTTTATTTATTTTTTATCTATCTCGGAGAAGGGGAAGTGCTGTTACGCACACCGAAACAAAATCCGGTAGTGTGGGACTCTCCGTTTCCGATATACCCACTAAAACCCCTCCTCCTGCACCACGCAATCACCAAAACTAAAAAATTTAACATTAAATTCACATTAAATAATAATCACTATTAACACTAAAACACATCACATCAAATGTTCAACATGTCCACCTCCTGTTCTGTTCAACACATACGCGAATGCGTTTTTCGAAATTAAATCTCATCTGATGGAAATCGCCTAAAAGGTTATGAATTATTCTCGATATAAACAATATCCGTTGTTTTAATTCCACACTGTTCGTTATCGGTGTTGAATACACTAAACTCTTCAGGTGTCCCCATAGAAAAAAGTCTAAGGGATTGAAGTCGGATGAACGTGCAGGCCAAGCAACGGGTCCCCCTCGGCCAATCCACCTGTTTCGGAAACGTTCATTCAGGTGATTTCTCACATACCCCGCCCAATGTGGTGGTGCACCAGCTTGCATAAACCACATATCCTTTCGAATGTTTAATGGCACTTCTTCTAAACATGATTGCAATTTGTCTTCCAGGAATTCCAAATAATTCTGTCCTGTCAACCGATAAGGCAGCACAACTAGACCAATAATGTGGTCGCCGACAATTCCGGCCCAAACATTAACCGAAAATTGCCGCTGTGAATTTGCGACTACAATGGCGTGTGGATTTTCAGTGGCCCACATATGATCGCTGTGACAATTTTGCACACCGTGTTTGGTGAACGTTGCCTCATCGCTGAACAATATTCTGGAACAGAAGTGTCGGTCAGCACTAATCCATGTTGCAAATGTCAATCTTCTTTCCAGGTTTCCTGCTTCTAATGCTTGGACCCGTTGAAAATGGTACGGATGCATCTGTTGCTCCTTTAAAATTCTCCACACTGTATTGTGGCTGACACCTTCTTCTGCAGCAATATCTCTCGTGGTGGTGGATGGATCCTCTTCTACGTGCTGCATAATTTTCTCCACTAGGTCCGGATCTTGTTGATCATGTCCGCCAGATTTCGTTCGGCAGAACGCACCTGCAGTTCTTAAACGTTGATAAATCCTTCGAGCTTCGCAAACCTTACTATCCGCTCGACCGTAGCACATATGAATGTCTGCACATTCTTCATTACTGTATTCCATTATGGATTACAATAATCAGACACTTCAGAGACACTTCCCAGACACATCACAGACACTTCCTTGCAATGTATCTAAGGAGTATCAATTCGAATCTGCTGCTTTCGCATAGTGTTAGGGTATACGTTAAATTTCTGCGTGAAGGGGTAAAAATACGAAAAGAATTTCATTGACTAAAGTATTTGGGTAGGTAGTAATTATAAAAGAGTCTACAGTGAGTGCGAGAGTTATTTCAGGTAAAGGACAAATTTTGATGCGCTGCAACGAAACAATAAATGACCCTGATATTATTGCAGGTACGTGGAGCCAAGTTGAGCGCCGACTATCATAAAATAATAGATATTCTGGGATTGTCCTAATTTATTTAATTCGTTTGACGTTTCGTGTTCGAAATTTTCATTCTTATGGTGGGTACGATCATTTCTTTCACGTGTATCCAATTATTATTCATAAGCTGGTATCGTGAATTTCCACAAGTATACTAAAAAATATTAACATAATTCGTTTCTTTTATCTCAAAAACGTAAGAAAGTGGGTTTTAATTATAAAGTTTGCAAATACTGCTAGGTACTATTTTCGAACTTGAAGAATCAGCTTCCTTCAGAGCTATCAAATATTTAAAAATATAAAACATAATGGCTAGAATGTATAATAAATCGGAAAAATAGTCGCTTAATTGTGTTAAGGGATTTTCTTATGTGAAGATAAAAAAATAGGAAAAAAACGTTTTCGAGATAAAAAAAAACACAAATTATTGTTACATTTTTTAGTATACTTGTGGAAATTCCCGATACCAGCTTATGAATAATAATTGGGTACACACGAAAGAAATGACCGTATCCACCATAAAAATGAAAATTTCGAACTAGATACGTCAGACGGATTAAGTAAATTATGAAAAACCCAGAATACCTATTATTTTATTATACCTATAGTCGGCGCTCACCTCGACTCCACGTAGCTCTAATAATATCAGGGTCATTTATTGTTTCGTTGCAGCTCATCAAAATTTGTCCTTTACCTGAAGTAACTCTCGCACTCACTTAGACTCTTTTATAATTACCACCTACCCAAATATTTTACCGGTCACCTGACTCCAATCTTTTAGACTTTTTTCTATGAGATACCTGAAAAGTTTAGAGTACTCAACAACGGTAACGAACAGCGAGGAATTAAAGCAACGAATATTCAAAACGTTTCAGACGATTTTCATCGCATGAGACACAATTTCGGAAAACGCATTAGCGTATATATTGAACGAAACGATGGACATATTGAACATTTAATGTAACATTGTTTTAGTGATTGTTATTTAATGTAAATTCAATGTGAAGATAAAAAAAAAAGATAGAAGAATAGCACGAGGTAAGTTTCTACTATTCAACGATTCTTGTTTATGACTGTACCGATCCCTGCTGACCTGACGTTCAGTCGTCGGTGTTAAGCGGATTGCAGGTTTCAGGCGCTTTTTACTCGAATTTTTAAACGTCAATTACTGGAAAATAAAGCCGTAAACGCTATTTCGTTATTCTTGATTTTCGTCTTATTTTGATCCCTAGAATCACCCCTTAAAATATTGCCCACCTGTTGTCGAACTACATGTATACAGGGTGTCCCAGAACTGGGGTAGGAGCGTAAGAGGGATGATTACTGAGGTCATTCAAAACAACTTTTTCCTTTGCCAAAATGTTGGTGAAGTCTTCGTTTTCGAGTAATTAACGAAAAACACTGGCCAATCATAGCGCGCCGTTAGCGCGGGCCGAACCACGAGAGTGTTGGGTATGCTCCGCGCGGTCGTGATCAAGTGCATCGGCACTACGTCGGTATACAGTAAAAGCTGGATATATGCAACAAACATTGGGACCCAGACGTTGCATATATCAAGTCGAGGTGTCTAATCTTGGGTTACACGCGACGAGCAGCCAAGCGTGAACGTAGAAAAGGACAGACAGTGGTGAAAAGAGAGAGGTCCGATAATCAAAGGAAAGAGCCGAAACGTATCGGTGTGACTAATACTAATTCAGCTATAAAACTTTTTTATTTTTGACTTTTTTGTACTGAAACTTTTACTAGCGCATTGGTGAAATTTTTCTGATTAAAATGATACCAAACACGATATAGTTTGAATGGGGTGAGGTTTGTTATGGGGCGCTGTGGAAAATCCAGGCGGGCGGCAGTCAAATCTTAGCGAAAGGGGACAATCTCAACATTCAGAATGAGAGAAGGACAGCATGACTGTAGTGCGTCTCACTCAGCGTTCGGGCGATGTTGCCTTTTTCGCTTGCCTTCGTAGCACAGTTCGAGTGACGTAATCAAGCTAACGCTTGATTCTGACTATGATTCCAAATCGGCAGCCTTTCTACTTAGACGCCACCTTATAACTACTAGCTGAACTAAATTTGTCACGTGACTTGCTCTGTAGTATCCAGATAATGGCGGAACTCGTCTTTGGGAATGCTTTTACGGGAATCGGTTATTCGTCCTTATACGAGAAGATCTTGAGCTGAATAAGGGCTCATTCGAAAGAGGAAGGTTCAATGCAGGGCGATCAACTCACCGTTTGAGTCACAAAACTCTTTTAGTGGCCTAAAAATGCTTCCAATTTGCAACTGCATTTTGTCGATTTTTTCTTCTACTTTCGACACTGATATTATTAAATATGCACATAATCTCGTTAAACCATGAGTTGACCGCCCTGCATTGGACCTTCCTCTTTCGAATGAGCCCTTACCCAGCCCTATGTGTTCTCATATAAGAACAAATAACCGATTCCCGTAAACCCATTAATAGGCCCGTTTTTGCCGGTAATGTCACCTCGCTGCATTACCCGTGTCTACCCCCTTAATAGGCCCGTTTTTGCCGGTAATGTCACCTCACTGCATTACCCGTGTCTACCCCCTTAAACACCTTCTTTGTGAAGGAAAGATAATATAGGATTCGGATTCGGTCTAGACTTATACAAGCCTCTCGCTCGTTGGATACAAGGTTTGGAAAATACGCACTAAATAATTATCAAAATTGAATAAATTGTAACGGATTACCGCCGGGGGTTTGCCGGCTCAGCCCGTAAGTCCGGGGTTCAGGCGAACGAATGAATAAAAGTCGGTGGTTAGTGGGTAAAATAATAATTATATTTCCTTAACTAAAGTACAAACTAACTTAAGACTACGGCCCTGGGGTCCTATCAATTTAAATGGCTTAACGGCTACGGCGACGCGGTACTTATATCTACGGCAGTGATGCCAGAACCGTGGGACGTGGGACAAATC